TATATATATATATATATATACACTGCACTTGACACAGATATACTCCAAGTCTTCGTGTAACATGTTTGCATCATCTAAATAAAGAAAGAATCTCGTCATTATAATTTCTAAAATCGTCTCCAAAAGAGACAATTTTATAATGTAATTATGAGACTTTTTTTTTATTCAGATGATGCAAAAACATTACACGAAGATTTGGAGTATATCTATGTCAAGTGTAATGTTTTTAGTTCCGCTAAAGCGTATTCATTTGAAAGAAGTTATTATCCGCTGCTAGAGAATTCCATTCAGGTAAAAGACGAATTTTTGCAAAGTCAAAATTTCAAAAACGTATTTAATTCTAATTCTATTTTTGATTTACATTCTTTTTAATTGTAAGCAAACTTTGCGAAAGTGCTTTCATTAAAATATACTTCTATCAAAATCAATGGAAAATTTTTTGGACAATTTCCGATGCATTTAAATTAAACCGCGTTAAAAACTGACGCCTATTTCATGCAAATAATGAGATGCCACTCAAACTTCTCGCATCTCTCGAATGGGGCTTGTCGATGAAGATGAATTGGGAAAAGGACGGCGAGACGTATCAGTGGAAAAATTCATAGCACAACAGCAGCGAATTCTCTGGGACAAAGAGAACTCCTTCCTGCATGGGTAGCTCTTGTCGACAGAAATCATGGGGATGCTCAATAAGCTTCGATGCCAGAAAACAAGAAAATATCTGCTCTGATACGCATCCTCTAATAATCGGCGGTAGCATTTAAAAGTTAATGAAAGCTGTAAATTCAAGTATTTCTGCAATTTTAAATATAGAGAGATATGTACTTATATATATTAAATATATGGATGCAGAAAGTATCTGTGAAGAAGCAATCATATTATATGCGATATAAAAGATTCATGTGAATCGTAAACATTGCAAATAATTGATGTAAAAGGTTATCGCCTCTAAACCTTTTGAATAAAAAGTATCAAAAAAGAAATGGATTTATATATAAGAAAAATTCATGAAATTTTCCGAAAAAGAAGAGGTAGTCTGAGTGAAGAAAAGCATCATAAAGGATGATTAGAGATGAGTTTAGAATGAGAACACACGAAAATATGTTGAACCAATTTACCTATACAAATGAAATTAGCCTACTAGAGTAATCAGAGAAATGGAAGTAGTTTCATTTTATACATGAAAATTAGCTAATAATAAAAGTATAGTAACGCGATTGATATCACTGCTGTTGCAGGAAAATGTACTAGAATAAGAAATGCTCTCGACAAATTTGCCCCCTCCAGATGAGATAACTCTATTTTTTCTTTACGGAAACAGAATGGAATGATGCACCGTTAAACATCCGCGAATTCTTTATCGCGATTTTCCACGTCCAAAGCACGTTTATGTCAGTAAAGAGGGATTTCAAGAAGTGGTCGACGACACGAAGGAAAAATCTACAAAGATGTAAAGACGCAGGACTACGCTGAGGCGGAGAACGTAGGGCGTCGGAGAACGTATAAGCTAACGCGAGAGGATGGGGGACATCATCTCCCTTGAGGAGGGAAACGGAGGACAGCCACAAAGAGAACGAGAGAAAGAGAGAGGAGAAAGATGAGAGAGAGAGAGAGAGAGGAGAGAGAGAGAGAGAGAGAGGAGAGCACCCCCGCGGCTCTATATAGACCAAAAGCTCTC